CTCTTTCCTCTCAGCTTTGTTCACTGTCCCTATTCAGTCTCTTTTCCCTGGAGTAAAGTTCTTCAACTCAAGGACTGTGCTTTGTGCTGAGCACATGGTAGAACAAGTCTCTTAAAAAGGAAAATAATGACAATTAACATGAGCAAAGGAAGGTGATGATGAGCAAACTGGCAAACTGCACTAAATCTTGTCAAGAGATGGAAGTCCCAGTCTTGCCTCCCTGCCATACTGATCAAGTGATGCTAGTGAAATGACCTGGAATTGTCCCGATACGCAATGATTTAATGAACCTCGCCATTGTCCTCTTGGACTTTTGTTATATCTGCACCTATTTACCACTTCATTTTTTAAGCATTGCTATATAGGCATGGCAAATACTTCTCCCAGGCTATGTGTTTTAAATTCCAATCTAAGTTTTTATAATCATGTGGATATTTCATCACAAAAGAGTCTACAAAAATCTTCTTATATCACCAGCCCTCTAGCTCCTGATTCTCTGTCAGGACGGTTCTCTGTAAAATCAAATTTTGTACCATGAAGTCATATGCCTCAGTTTTAGACTTGTCTTTTCCTCAGTTAACCTCATGCCCTGAATGCAAGCTTTTCCCTAAGGCTATCTTTTCAGTTAGCCTGTCAACGAAATTTATTAAGACTTGGGAAATGGACATCATCTTCTTTCATCAGTCTTCACTAGATAAATCTTCTTAGTTCTTTACAGAATTCTTCACACCCTTTGGTTCTTGAATTGGCAGCAGACACTATTATTGGCATCACAAGTGATACTAGCGTGCTTTAATATTCTGAATCCATGGCTCTCTCCCTGTGTTTTCAGCAATCCTTACAACCCCATATTGCTCGGCAGAGCAAAGTAGCTGTGTCACAATGTTCTCCTCATTCAGTTTCGTAATAAACAAATGTCAACAGGAAAAGGGCATACATCTAACATTCATTGCAAATGTCTGTTTTTCAGTTGTCATGCAAGAGCTTAGGCATTTCAGTTCCTTTGCTTTTGTATTCACATACCACAACGTTAGGTAATTTGAAGTTGAAAATAATAGGTCAACTATTCCATCTTCCTGCCAGTCAAGGATTTTTTATTGCAGTATGTTGATAAATTCATTATCCACTCTTGGCAAATGCTAATTGGTAAACGAGAGTTTTTCTCTAACTGAAAGTAACTCGAAGTACTTAATATACTTGTGAAGGTGAAAATCATATAATCATAGAATCGTTAAGGTTGGAAAAGAGCCTTAAGATCATTAAGTCCAAACATTAAAAAAAAGAGTGAAAACAAATGCTTCTTCCCATAAAACATCTCTAAGTTACTTCAGAAGGCAAATACTCTAGTTTCATTTAGATACCAACAAACTACTTCCTTTGTCATGGTTAGATCATATCTGTATCCCTTCCTAAATCTTCCTCCTCTCTGCTCTCAGTAAAACAAAATCATAAAACCAACATAGAAATGAAAAAAGCATTAAGAAATAAATGTCTGAAAAATTAATATCCTTCTGATTTCATTACCTAAAATAATCACATTGCAAAACAGAATCTTTATCAAAAAACATATGCGAATAATAAAAAACTGAATATATCTATGAAAAGAAAAGCACGCTTTTTCTCCCTAATTACCTCATAAACAAAACAGGGGAAGAAGCAATGCAAGCAGTCACTAA